TTTAATTTAGAATAATATATAGAATAGTCTCGAATTTTCGTTTTATAGCTTTCCCATAAAAATTGTGGATCGTTATAATCATTTCTTCTTGAATTGTTGAGAATTTCTTTCAATTTTTGTGTATATAATCTATTACTATACTATTACTATATATATATTGATATGTATTATTATATATATTACTGTCTCTTATACACATCTAGATGTGTATAAGAGACAGGTGTGTGTGTGTGTGTGTGACACGGAAAATAAGACATTTCGAAGCTCTTTAAAGGTGTCCCGATTCTTTTATTACGTCGGTGATCACAATATGGATAGTTCCGAAATTATCAAATTAGTTGTAGTTCCAACTTCCTCAATTATCACTTCTTCCTGGCTCACTTGTCGTATAGCAACTGTAGGTTCTGGTTGAACATCGGTGATAGTGGCAACAGGAACCCGTGGCTGTAAATGAATGTCAAAATTCGAGACGTTAACCATCTGAAAGTTGACAGTTCTAGACTTGTCTATGTTCACCAGTGTCGGAATCACAGCTAGTCCATTTTGTAAGGTGTGAGTGTAATTTCTTCAATGAGAGCATTAGACGTGATCGTTGATTGTGTGGTGGTGTTGCCTGTGACGGTTTTGACACATCTGGCGGGTACGATGACAGGTTTGTTACCAGCTATTCTAACATTAGCAGGTAGCATGTTCATTGATGCTGTTTCCTCATAGAAACCTAATATGCGCGCCCACTTGCGTCCTTTAGTAGATATTTTGGCGATCTTCGTGGTGAAGTCATCACCAAACTCTGCTTTAAGTGTTTTTTCTCATATCTCGAAAGATATTAGAGCCGATGACACCTGTCACATTCCGTTTTCTCTCAGCTATTGGGGAGTTAACTGGATCACGTACTGTAAGGAATCCTAAGTTGTTAAATGTTCTGTTTAGAATGTGAATGGACAGCTCAACATATGCTGTATAGGGTACTGCTAGACCTTGTGCCCCGGAGATGCGAATGTACGAAGATACATCCCACGTGGGTGGCTACATTTGTGAGACATTTCTTGTAAAATGACTCAGTCCAACAGACAACGAAGTTCGAAACTTGTATCACTGGTCGCGCTTCCGACGTTTACCACTGCCTCTGGACAATTCCCTATTGCTTTATGAATGATTGCTGAGCCTTCCATGGACCCACCCACTGTCTGGCTCTCGACAACAGGTTCTATTCGTTTAAATGGTTGGTGTTGGTGGAAGTTTGTTGGGTACGTGCGCTTTGATCCCGTTTCCTCTGACGGCAATTCCTGCTGATATGGCCTGGTTTGTCACAATAATAACAAACTCTAGAATTAGATGTGGGCTTGTCGGTCAAGAGTTTGTCGAGTTGTTTTTGTTGAGCGTTGATTTGCTCTGCTTGTTCCCTCAGTAATTTAAGAATGTCACTGGTCGGATCAACTTTAACCTCATTGACTGTAGCTGGTTTAATGTTGATTCCTTTGCCAAACCATTCAATTGCTCGATCACGTACCTCAAAGTAAGTGAGGGAGGGTGACTCAATATTTAATCGCCTGAGTTCCCGTTGAAGTCCTTCCTCTGTTACCGCCTCTGCTAGACGACTCTTCAGACAACTTTCTCGTCATGCCCTGTACGTTGGATCAACAGCACATATTCTGTCATACAGTGTTACCAGTTTTAACGAGCATGCCAGCAATTCTTCTGTCGTGGATTGAGTATAGCTGAAGAATTTCTGCTGTAGCTGGGGCAACGTATCACCATCACCAAAGACACGGTCGAGTATTTTCAGAATTTTCTCTGGATCGTTTGCGACTTCATCTCCCCTGCCAAGGATTTCTTTCCTAGCATTTCCAGACAAATGGTCTTTGATGAATGAAGCTGCCTCTTTCTGTCCCATTGATCGCAACTCGATCCGACTTCGAACATCTACAATCCATTCCTGAATTGTCACATCACCTGCTTTCGATGGGCGATCCTTGAAAACATCAAGTTTTCGTCCAGGTGAAATGTACACTGGCTGCTGGGTTGTCTTCTTGTCTGCGGCGTCAATAAGCTTTTTTTTTTTATCTCGTCCTGGGCAGCATGGTGATCAGTCATAGCCCCTGCCACTTTCTCTTTCTCTTGGCTCAACCTCAGCTCCATCTCTGCAAGCTTTTGTTGTAGTTGTTCAATCTCAGACATCTTGTGATTTGGTCTCTACAAGATCATGAAAGGTCTTCCGGCTAGTCTTTTCTCTGCCAGGGGTTGATTGTGATGAACCACGTAATCCTGCCGACTACGCCATTTTGTGACACGCAAAATAAGACGACATTTCGAAGCTCTTTAAAGGTGTCCCGATTCTTTTATTACGTCGGTGATCACAATATGGATAGTTCAGAAATTAACCGGAAACTAATGCATAACCAAAAGGTGAAGAAAAGCAAAACCAAAACAAAGACAAAACCCTGTGATAAAAAAAGAGAAAATACCAATTAAGTCTTATGCTAAGCAAAGATGTATGAAACAACTAAAATGCTAAACAATACTTAAGTCGACCCTATATTATCACATCCTATAATCATTCATATAAAGGAAGTACCTTTTAGCTTATGAAGAATTAAATAATACTATTATCATAACAAATCATAATTAACGTAATAAAACGTCGGTATAAAGAATAGCATAATGGTGAACTAAAATTACTAAATGATAAATAATTAAATCTAATAAACTGAAAAAGATGTACTGTATATAGCACACATGTGCTATGTCTAGGTTTCATTTAGTAAATAACTTCATGTTTTAAATATACAAACAATTAAAAGAAAGGTAAGTTAAATTGATAAATAATTAAAAGTAAAAAAAATAAGTCTACGAACTTTGACCTTCCTATTCAGGCTATGCTACATCAGCAGATGGTAAAAGTGTACCATTTTACACCTCCCTGATGTATCACTCAACTATCTCAATGTCAATCGCCTTGACCCCATACCGCTGACTAAAACAATTCGTGCATTCATAACACTCTTAAAAGTCAACTACTTAATTAGCATAGGCTAAGAAATACAAATCACCTAATTTAGAGAGATAATTAATATAAGCATAGGCCTAAGTACATTTAATAAAATACTAACACGTATCAATATGATAAATTTATCCGTCAAATGCCTTATTTAACTCATGGTTGAAACACTATAAATTGTTATCCTAAGCAATTGTCCTACAATCAAAGATAATTTAAGTAAAATAATCTTCCTGCAATCAGAGACTAAACATAATGTGTGCATAACTCCTCTGAATTAATCTGTCAGCACCAAAGTAATTATCTCACAAGTAGTGATACAATAATCAACTTATTTGCTATATCAAATCTATACATAACCATGATCTAATAATAAACATACATGTAATTTAACAGTAGGATATTTATATACAAGAGAGATAATTAACTCACCCTGGCTAAATTTAGGTGAAAACGTAGAGCGATGAACTATGTGGACTTCTCTTCTCTGCAGTGTATTGGCAAACGTCTCAAGGACTCAAAATGGGTACAAACAAGGACTTATGTTATGTAAAATAGCCATTAACCCTTCTTAGAAGTCCTGTTGCCATGGAAAAAAAAGGG